CAAGCATACACACACACACACACACACACACACACACATATATATATATATATATATATATATATATATATATATATATATATATATATATATATATATATATATATATATATATATAGGGGTGTGTGTGAGCCATTCTCCACTATATATTATACCATTTTCAGTCTTTTTTACGTGGAAAATTTTGTATTTATATTTTTTTTCTCCAAACATCCAATTGCTTATATTTTTTTAATTTTCTGAATAAAAACTTTTATTTATGTCATTTTGAGTTTCTTCATTTTTTTTCTTAAATGTCTTCTTGAAGTTCAAACATCCTAAGATTACAAACATCTTTACAATCCTATGATTGTTGAGAATTTAAACTACCGTAAGATTTAACAAAAAAGGAAGAAATTCAAAATGACAAAAATAAAAGGTTTTATTCATAAAATTAAAAATAAACTCTTAGTAATTAAATGTTTTGGAGAAAAAAATAAAAATATCAAAATTTTCTAATTAAAATTGACCGAAAATGTTAATAAATATAGTGGAAAATGGCTTAACGGGGGGTATTTTCGTCATATTTTGGAAAAAATGTAATGTGAGGGGGGTTTTTGTATTTTTGTGTAATACAGGGGGTATATGATACAAACTCCATAGTACAGGGGTGTTTTTGTATTTAACCCTTTTTTTTATTCTATTGAATGTTCCTCTGAAAATGCAATTTTTGCCCTTGAACATGTGTGATTGCTATTCATATATATAACGTAATCGTAAGCATATTAATTACTTAGGGGTAAATTGTAATGTATTTAAAAAAATGTTGTTATTTATAATTTTAAAATTATTATGTACTTCTTCGTTTTACAATTATTAAAAACAGAAAATGCATAAAAAATAATAAAAATATCTTGTAATATATATATATATATATATATATATATATATATATATATATATATATATATATATATATATATATATATATATATATATATATAGAGAGAGAGAGAGAGAGAGAGAGAGAGAGAGAGAGAGAGAGAGAGAGAGAGAGAGATAGAGAGAGAGAGAGAATATATAAAAAAAGAACTAAAAATTTATTTGTTTCCATTTTTTTAACTTTTTATTCAATAAAATTGATTTTAAATATTTTGTAAATATTCTCGTATTTCTTATTTTCTACTACAAATATTTTCATTATTTTAATTAAAATTTTAATAATATTTTAATTTTAAACAAACCAGTGAAGGAGAGAACTTGTACAAGCATCTCGAATAATTCGACGGTTTTGAAAATCGTCTTTCTCAAAGGTTGGTGGCGCTATTCGCCAGAGGAGATGTAAGGCTTGTGCGCGGTGGACTCCGCCTGTGAGGGGAGTGTGTCGGTCGCATTCTTCGACGATGGTTGAGTGTATGGATAGTTTGGTGGCTTAAGAGCCAAATATGAAAAATTCGTGGTGACGGCGGGTTTAAAGCTTGAATAAGGAAATAGAATTAAGATTTCTCTTTTACTTCTTTCTTCGGGTGAATTGCATTTTGCACTCCAAAAACGGTAAGGGTTGGCGTTTTGCAATCTTAGATTTTGGAATTGGCAAAATACACCTTCAAATTAAATATATCATGACAAAATGCACCTTACAATTGTTTCTTATGAGATTTTAGCCAAAATATGAATATATCATGATATTTAATATTTAAGAGTTTCATTATTTTTAACAAAAATTATGAGAATTCAACTTAGGACATACAAAAGCTTATTTCATACAAACAGTATTAAAACAACATAAAATGTGAGGTTAGAATATAACTAGAAAACTAATCAATTATTGAGATTTAAAAAATAGAATAAATCACATGAAATATGTAAGAAGAATTGTTAACAATGTAGATGTTTTTTGGAGCATAAATCACAACCTTTTGAATTACTTTAAAGAAATATCATTGTATAAAAAAGTTAATTTTTTTAGTTCATATACAATTTCAATTTTGATACGAAAAACTAACAAAAATAAATCATTATTTCTTCCTTTGTGTTTCATTTATAATATAACAAAATAAAATTTTAAAAATGTAAAGTACCAAAAAAAAAACCACCAAGAAAGAATATATTTATATGCTAAAATATCGTGATATATTGACATTTTGATTAAAATATCACAAGAGATAGGTGTAGGGTGTATTTTGCCATGTGATATGCAATTTGATGGTGCAATTTGCCAATTTCAATTTTTAAGTGTGCAAAGTGCCAATCCATGTTATTTTAGGGTGTAAAACGCAATTCACCCCCATTCTTCCAAGAGATATTAGAGTAATTGTGAATATATTATTTTTTTCGTGAAACGTAACACAATAGGGAAAATTTTTAAGACGACAACTTACCTCGGGGAAATTTTCAACACTACGCAAACATGGGGGTTTTACGTAGTTAGACCTTACTTCAAGGGAGTTATCGTAATTTACCTTTTTCTAAATAACCGAAGGGCAAAATGGACAAAACACATCTTTGTGAATTAAAACGGACAAATACTGGTTAGAGAGCGATTTTCGTTATTATGCAAACATGAGGGGATTTTCTTAATCAGACCTTATCCCTGGGGTTTTCTCGTAATTTGTCCAAGTATTTTATGTTAATAAGATTAACCGATTACTAACCTAATTTGTTTTTAAATGGTGGAATCATTAACGAAATGCTAACATATACTCCCTCCTTCCCCAATTAATTGTCATATTTATAAATCCTTTTATAAATAGTATAGATATACATATTGATCAAATATATCATAGACAATATTGTGAAAACAAATAAATTAACACGAGACGTGCAACGCACGTCTACCTTTCTAGTACATATAAATTGTACTAATCTCATCGAACTATTGCCATTTGACAACTACATCCCTGAAATATGGCTTTTGTCAACCACTCCCTCAGTTATTTAAAATTTTGGCATCTATGTATATATATTAGGGCAAATGACAAATAGACTCATGCCAATGACACTTAATTAAAAGAGGGACATTCAACTTTTTTATCTTTAAAATAAATTTAGCTCATTCAAACTTATTTGCAAATAAGGAAAATCCTTTTATATATACCAAAATTACCCCCAGATCATTGAAACTCAATTCAACTCCAATTTCATGAATTAAAACCCTAATTTCAATTTTGACCCGCCACCACTGGAGACCGCCGTTAACCGCCAGTCTCCGGCGTTGACTTTTTTTTTTGATTTTTTTTTTCCGGTAGGTCAACCGCCGTTGACCGCCACGCCTCCAGCGTTGACTTTTTCTTTTTTTTCTTAAAAAAAATATTTTAATTAATATTCCTATCTTGACTACTAAATTACTATCTTCAACACTTATTTAACTGTCGGAGACAGTAATTTAACTGTTAATTGACTTTTTTTTCTTAAAAAATATTTTTAATTAATATTATTGTCTTGGCTGCTAAATTACTGTCTCAAACAATTATTTAACTGTCGGAGACAGTAATTTAACTGTTAATTATTATTTTTTTAAATATTTTAATTAATATTACTGTATTCGTTGCTAAATTACTGTCTCCAGCAGTTATTTAACTGTCAGAGACAGTGATTTAACTGTTAATTTAATTTTTGATTTATTGTGCTTCAGGCACAAAGTGATGAATTTGATAAATTGAGGGTCAAAACTGTAATTTATAAGAAAATGTAGACAAAATTGAAGAAGTCAAAGTCACTGGACCGGTCAAGATCTCGGATGGCCGTCCGAGTCAAGAAAGAGGAAAAATAACTCACGGCATTTCGGACAGCTGTCCGAAATGGAGTTCAAAACACCAGACGGTCGTCCGAGCAGGTGGAGCTGCTAAGGAATTTCTAATTGTACAAGGAAAAACTGCCTTTCGCCAATTTTTCCACCTTATAAAAGGTCATCTCAATTCTCAAGAACAAAACCAGGGGTCTTCTTTTTACGCAGTTGTGAGAACAAAGAAGCAATAACGAAGACGAAGAATTTGTAACATATTAAATCTGCCCATGGCTGTTGTGAAGATGTTTGTTTGTGTACCAAGAAGTAGCAGGTTCCATGATATTATTCTTAGAACATTTTATTTGCCAATGACATGACTATGTATTTAAGAGGGTAAAGAATAAGAGAAATTGGATTGGTTTTTAATTTTGAGTAGAGGTTAGGAAAAAGCTGGAACAAACATACAGGCATAAACAACTGTTTCATGAAGAACTCTGTACTGAAAAAAAATGATGCTAGCTAATGAATTCGACTTGCTTTTCTCTATGAATTTTGTTCGACTTTACATAATAAACACTATTAAATCTTGATCTAAATAGGAGGAAGAAATCTTGGAAGTTTATAAACTAAAATGTTAAATAGTAATCAATGACATGGAAGAAATTAGGAAATATTTTTATTAATAATTTTTCTTTTATTAAAAAATCAATTAAAATATAATTTTTATGACATTTTGTTTTTGTCAAAGTAGAGCTACAACAAAATTGATAAATTATCTTAGCAACTACATCACATAAAAATATTATTTAGGGTAAATTGCACCCATACTAGCTAAAGTAATAGTCCGATAGAATCCTATCGGAGTAATGTATCCAATTTATTACCCCATTAGAGTTTCTAACTATGTTTCAGGGGTAAGTGTAATTATCGATACCACAAGGACCTTAAAGTTATTTTAGCATACCTCAGAGGTAAGAGTGTAATTTATCCTATTATTTAAATGTAATTAATTATTGAAAAGCTAGAAAACCTCAATTCATATATTCGTGCAAGTCATCAATCTCTGCAAATTACATATATTAATGTTTGACTTTCTTTCGGCTGATGCATATTGGTAGGTGTTTATGATGAAGACCTTATTGTTATCAAATGCCAAATATATGCTGACTGAGTAAAAACTTAATTCACAATCTTTCCAGTTTGATTATCCTATTTTGACTTTGCTCTGATCTTCTTGTTAGTGTCTAAGAAATCACAAATTTTTCATAATCTGTTAGTCGATTATCCAAAAAAGATGGCTGCAACATATGCGGCTTTAGTTTCTCTCACTCATACTATTGACCGCATCCTCAATCCACCTCCTCATCATCACTTCAATTTTGATCGTGATCAGATTAATTGTCTACGACAAAAAGTCGATTTCTTGATAGATTTTCTCGAAAAAAATCAATCAAGTACTGGAGGAGATCACAAAGAGATCGAAGATTTGGAGACGAGAATCAGGGTTGTAGCTGAAGGAGCAGAGTATATCATCGAAGACAATGTGATGAACCACATTCTTGCTGGATCTGAAGTCGACAGATCAGTAGAAACCTCAACCTTATCTGAAGGTGTACAAACATCAATACAAGAGTTTGATTCCATCGAGGAAGAGTTGGTGAGAATCGAGAAAGATCATGTGCAGCATAAAAACTCCATAACAACGGAAGCTAGTTCATCATCATCGTCATCGAGGCCTCTTCTTCCGATTGGCGAAAACATCATGGTGGGATTCGACGGCCACGTGAACGAAATTATGGGTGCTCTCTCCACCGATGAATCTAATCGTCAAATTATCCCTATTGTTGGAATGGGAGGCATAGGTAAGACTACTCTTGCCACTCATGTCTATAACAAACCTTTTATCGTGCAACACTTTCATGTTCGTGCTTGGTTTACGGTTTCCCAAGAATATACCGAAAAGGAGATTCTTCTAGGCCTTTTGCATCAGATTGATAATACTAATCAAAATGATGCCCATGAGATGAATGCTGGTAAACTAGGAGATAAACTGTACAAAACTCTATTTGGGAGGAAGTATTTAATAGTAATGGATGACATGTGGGATATCAAGGCCTGGGATATGTTAAAAATGTTCCTTCCAGATAACAATAATGGAAGTCGAATCTTGGTAACTACTAGGCTATTGAGATTGGCTATGGATATTGGGTCTTGTAGCCCTTATCAACTGAATTTGCTAGATGAAGAACAAAGTTGGGATCTACTCTCCCAAAAGATATATGCAGAAAAATGTTGCCCCGTTGAACTCGAGGTAATTGGAAGAAGTATTGCAAAAAATTGCAGAGGTCTTCCTTTGTCATTGGCGGGGTTCTTGCAAAGTCGAAAACAGAAAATTGGAAGTACGTCGAAGAAGATGTAACTTCAGCTGTAAGCAATCAAGATGACGAGTTCTGCATGAAGATATTATTCTTGAGTTATAATAACTTGCCTATATATCTCAAGCCTTGTTTTCTTTACTTTGCCGTGTTCCCAGAAGATTATACCATCAGGGTGCATTTGGATGGAGGGATTTGGAGGAGGGATTTCAAATCCATAATAACAAATCCCTCGGACTTGTTTGGATTGAGGGATTTGGAGATGGATTTCAAATCCCCACCCCTCCTTTTTAGTTGATTTTGGAGCAATAGTGATGGATTTTAAATGACTCCTAAATTGGAGTCATTTCAAATCCATTCCCCAAATCAAATCCCTTCCCAAATCCCTCCATCCAAATGGACCCTCAAAGTTTCCAAGCTAGTCAGTTTGTGGGTTGCTGAAGGATTCATAAGGCAATGTGGGCATAAAAGCTTAGAAGAAAATGGAAATGAGCATTTGGAAGATCTTATAGATAGGAATCTCGTTTTGGTTGATTGGAGATCAATTAGTAGAGAAGTGAGGTCCTGCCGCATTCATGATCTTTTAAGTAATCTATGCAGGACAGAAGCTCAGAAAGACAATTTTATTCTCACTTGAAAACTTTATAACCCCAATACTTTAAGTTACCTAAAGATCACACAACGCCTCAATATTAATGGTGGTAAATGGAAAGGGATGAAACTTACGCCCGATACATCACCAGTACCTATACGGTCTTTGTTAAGCTTCTCTCCTGAGGATTCAAATGATTACACTGCTCATCAGTTTGGGTTACTACGGGTATTGGATGGGGTTGATAGATATCCTAAACATAAAATTCTACAGCTAATTAACTTAAGATATGTTTCTTGCATGGGTCCGATGACGGCGATGTCGTCTTCTATATCCCGACTTTGGAGTCTACAAACTTTAATTGTTGACGGAGAGTTGAATTTACCAAGTGAGATATGGCAGATGCCCCAACTTCGACATGTTGAGGCCACACGAATACATCTGGCTGATCCTCCTCCAGATGATGTCAAGAACATCATACTTCTTCAAAATCTACAAACACTTTCAACAGTCATAGATTTGAAATGCACTGAAGCGGTAATTAAAAGAATCCTAAATATCAAGAAGTTTGGAATTATTTGTCCGACATTTGGATCTATTTTTTTAAGAAATCTTGGCCATCTCCATAAACTTGAAGAACTTTATTTGCAATGTACTCCTTGTGGTGGAGATGTTGTCTTCCCAAATTCACTTAAACGGTTGATCTTACGTGGATGCAAGATTCCTTGGGAAGATATGTCTGTTGTTGGTTCACTACCCAACCTTGAAGCTCTCACGTTGTGGACAAATGCTGTTGTAGGCCAAAAGTGGATTTCAAAAGAAGGGGAATTCACTCGACTCAAGTTCTTGTACATTTATGAGTGTGAATTGGAGATATGGGAAGCAGACAATACACATTTCCCATGTCTTGAAATTCTAAGTCTTGGGTACTTGAACCTCAAGAAGATCCCGACTGCATTTGCCGAAATATTGCCACTTCAAGCGATTAACTTTGATTGCAATAGCAACAATGACCTTTTGCTATCAGCAAATGGAATATCAGAGCAACGAGAGAACCTAGGATACAATGCTCTTCATGTTCAAAATTTCACATGTGGAGTGCTCAGAATTTGGGTGAAGAGAGGTATTAATCTTGTTGTTGGTAATGACGGCCACATCGGAGATCCTTATGTTGTTATCACGAGTTCCAAACAGGTTTTGCGCTCTTACTTCTTGATGTTTTTTTTATTTTTTTATTTATTATTAGTGTTCCTTTTACCCTCACAAAAATATTTCTTAAACAAAAATCATTACAAATTATTAATATTCAAGGATAATTTTATCATGCTGCACTCCAAACGTCACACAACCTCCGCTTGCCTACATTGTTGTAGTTTAAAAATTCTAAAATGACCTCTCATCGCATGTCGTCTCTTTCATTTTCATTGTTGACATATATCTCCCACCATTGCTGTTGTATTTTCTTTCTTATTAGTTAGATACAATCTCAAAGGGAGGTCATAACATAATTTACTGGATTTGGAATAAGTTTTTAATCACAATCAGAACTCCGGAAAAGTTTGTGTCAGTATGTAATTGAACCTTAACTCAAGGGACAACGCATTAATTTATTATCCTTTGCATATGTGCATATATTTGCATTAAATATTTTGCCTTTCGAGTTTTCTAGAACAAAATTTGCAATTTAGTATAAATCTTCATGATGCAGAGTGTGAAGACTCGTGTTGTGACGAAAGATATTAATCCGGAATGGGACGAGAAACTCGGAATTCGTGTTGCAAATCATAGTCATTCAATTTCTCTGGTGAGGTTCTTTAATTTACAATATATAAAAGAAAATCTGATAGCAAGTGGTACAATATTTCTTTGAGTTAAAAATGTGAAATTCAATGTAGAATGAGTTCATCCAAATAAGTTCAACTTATTATAGATTGGAAATCTTTAGTTTCAATGTATGCTGATTCATAGTGTATGTATGGTTGTAGACAGTGCATGACCGCACCAAGTTCAAATTTGATGACAAGTTGGGAGAAGCGAATTTGGATATTAGACCGTTTGTAGAAGCCGTGAAATTGAATCCAAATGGCCTTCCAAATGGTTCAATAAGCGCACGAGTATTGCCTTCGATCTCCAATTGCCTTAACGAAGAGAGTTCCGTTTTCTGGGAAAATGGGACGGTAAAACAGGACATGTGCCAGAGATTGAAAAATGTTGAATCCGGAGAAATCGAACTTCAACTCGAGTGGATTAATAAATTTAAACCACGGCGGGCTCGAAATACAACTCAGGCGGTGGATTGAAGTTCGTGCGTGCACTAATTTATGGGTGTGTTTGGATCAAGTAAAACAATCAATAAAACAGTGAATACTATGCAAAATACTAATTTATGGGAAAATTGCACATCACCCCTGTAAATTTCTGATTTTTGCACTTTACCCCTTCAATTTGTTTTTGAAAGTCAATGC